TATATTAATTCACTTTAAGCATCAACGAAACGGCAATATTTTTTCTACTTTCTAAACGAACATCTTAACAGTCAAAAGGCTTTTTAAACATCTTTAAAAAAAATCTAAGAAATTCAGTGTCTCACAACTATGATAGATGCTATGTCTTAAAGTATGTTTTGCCTAATAAATATGGTGGCCGGTAACGTCCACTTTAAAGCGAAGAAATTCTACCGTCAGTTTATAAAATGCCACGGGAAACTTTAAAATCCGCGAGATTTTATGTCAAAATTTTATAAAATGTCGCGGCTCGATTTTTTCTGTCTACTTGGTAGACTTAGTCGCACAAACATGTCCGTACTTTAAGTAGCCGATTGCTGCTATTGCAACCCGTGTGCATATCTTGTAAAAAGTCGAGTTTGGGCATTAAGCCTTGACATTTTTATACTGGCAATGTCTCTTTTAATAGTGTTTTCTTTTTAAAAGGTCGCACCTGAAAATTGCCATAACTCGCCACAATATTTTATGAGACAATTTTTGAGAAATAAGACGTCGAGGCATATAATTTTTCCCGCGAATTTTTGTAGAATTTCTACAACACTTGCAAAATATGTCGCGGATTTCTTTCTGTTCCTCAACTGTTTATACACAAACGACGGATAAAATGTAGAGTCAAACCATTGTCGTTACCGGCCACTAAAGTCAAAATGTTTCCAACAACTGTTCTAAAATATCGGCAGAAAATCTGTCGGATTTGTAAGTTGCCCGCGATTTTTTTTTGATCAAACGATCATGACGATACAATTCCTTGGGGATTTAAAATGGCCACAACCGGTCACTATACATAACCAAAAATGCTTTTAATTATAGCATTGTTACAGACATAAGCTCATCAGCATTAACAGTAAATTATAAAAGGTCCATTATGCCAAAGAAATGTTATATTCTTTTCTCAAAAACTGTTAATTTTTAGTATCTTGTTACAGTTTCCAAAAAACATACTCATTTGCTATATTATACATGAACGCTCTTTTGCATCAATAGCTCAATTGGCACTTGGTATAATTAAAGAGAAGCAGTTTTTTTAATGGAAGTCAAAATACTACATAGCTGGTTGTTCAATGCTACTTCTTTCGTTTGTGAAACATTTAACATGCACTTAATCAATTATATAAACACTATTAAACACATGTTTGACATTTCTCAAGAAATTAAAAAATATCAATTTCTGAGGCAAAATGTTACTTCAAACTATTGAAAAATCCACAAATAAAGTATAAATTAAAAATATCCCTTGATACAATTGCCATCTTTTAGTTTCTTGCTTCCTACACAATCGAACTTTAATAGATTTTGTATGAACCAATTTATTTAATTTAAGATCATCCATTAGTTAAATGTCAAATAAAGTTTCAAAATAGCTTACAATAACAAAAACAGATTTAAATAATAACGGAACGTATCCATTTTTCCATTGAGATTCTGATCTATAGTTGAATACTACACAACTAGTCTATTTGGAATTTCATTATTGATTAAGCAGTTGTTATTTTAATTGTTTTAATAGTTGATACGTCTGCATGTAAAAATATGACAAATGGGGTGTTATTTTTTCATTTTTATCAAAACATAGACAATACCAAGAAAAGACTTTGTTAAGAACTTGGGGCTCTTAACGAGTGTGCAGCTATATCTGTTGTTTATTATTGGTATATTATTTGTTTATTCTTGATAGAAATATAACATAACACTAACTAGAGAACAATGTTTGTAAATTTCCGTCGCAACAGATTATGGCGCATGCGCGTATTCATCGCTTAACCTTTCACAATTTTGAACGGTTTCTTATGTTTTTATTTATAATGTTATTTGTATTGAATAACAATTACATTGATAAAACTTCCGATTGCCATATGTATAGTAATAAAAACATATTTTTACAATATATTAATTAAGAAGTTTATTTCGCAAATAATAACGTTTAATGCTACACCGAAAAGGTCATACTTTTACTAAATACCTAAGTTATTAATGTTTTAAATAGTACTAAGTATAGGAAGTTTCATTTACTAATGCTTATGCAAAAAGGGCATAGTTTATAACATGATCGTAATAACAGAAATATAAATAGCTAGCTATGATTTTGATACAAATATCGGTAATTGATCAGGCTCATTTGTGAGTTAAAACTTCTGTGAATGCTGCATCACGGTATATTAAGGTTGTAGACAAATTCTAAAAGCTTTGACCTTTAATGTGCCGAAAAATGCTTAATATATTAAGATTAACTGTAAGCAGGCGGACAAATTGTAATTTGTGTATTATACTTAAGTCCCCTCTCATCTTTTAACCAGTACAGATGACTACGTGATTTTCGATGAATTACCCATTCGTCATTATGATGCATTTTTAACATTGGTAACTTTTGCAGACGCTGACAAATATAACAAAATGTGCGTTGAATTCTTTACAAACCTAGAAAAGCCAATAGAATCATAGACTTCTATGGTATGTACATTAGTTCCCAATACAAATATCTAGAATTAATGCATTGTTTATTGTTTAGATTGAAAAGCAGTTTTATGTACAAATACACTTCACTCTAATAATCCATGCCATTAATAGAGTTAATAAGGGAAGTACAATTCTGTCGATGAATGAGTTAATGGCATAGACGATACAATTAACAAGATGCTAATTTTTACTTGTTTATCCTATTTCTTTATTACATTTGCTTCCAATTTTCTTGCTTTAATTATTACCTTATACTTTAATGGTTCATACGACAACAAAATTTGCACTTGAATGTCATCATTTTTACATTGACAAAGACAATTAACTACAACCATTAAATTAAAACAGAATAATTAGAAATTTCTATTTTCTGTCTAAACCGTTATGTTAGGTTATGCAACAGTCGATGTTTGTGACTTTGAAATTATTTTACCGACTTATTCTTACTTAATACAGAATTAATGTATATCTTATTTACTGTACTGCCGAAATATATATAAGTAGATAATGCATAAAAGATAAATGCTTTTTTTCTCTAACACGTCCACCCCTTTAAGGTTTTATTCTGTGTACCAAAATTACCAACAGAAAATGTTCCTTCAACAATATAACAGTATAAGTATAAATTTTGTTTTGCATTCTTTACGAATAAACCATAACTGTTTTACATATTATCATTATTTTTTACTTTACCAAGCTATGGTGTTGTTCTATTTGTGTGGATCCTTCTGGAAATATTGTTTCCAATATATATAGGATTGAATATTGAATATCGCAAAAACAGTTGTTAGGGGCCATGGACGATGTTGCATTTTACACTATATGTCATGAACAAACGAAATCAAACATATCTAGGACTTTCGCTGATTCCTTCTTGTTTTTATTATTTTAGAGAATTTTCTCATGGTTCATACATTTAACTGGATAACTAACACTAACGTTAATCAACTTTGTAATGTTTGTTAAAGATGATAAGGGACAGAAGATGAAGAAAACCTGTAATAACCGTTTCAAAAGGAGACTCGAACATATTAATCAAAGAGTAGATATATGTTTTGCTTGATTGGATAAATTGAAAAAATGAAATGACTTTACAATGTGAATGATATGAAATGTTATATACACCAGATAAAAAAGATGAAAGAAAATAAATAAATAAATAAATGTAATATATAATAAAAAATATCAAAAGAAATTTAAACATCATAAGAAAAACAACATTAAACAAAAAGGAAATCCACATTGATAAACAAATTATACATAAGAAAGTGGGTCTTTATATGAAGACCAGATGTAAAGACCCAAAGTTTATTAAGCCCAAAGTATATTTCTTGAACGAAGCTTATACAAAATACATGGAAAACATTTTAAATGATGACACACTGACTTCATGTAAAACATAAACATCAAGTTAAGTCATATCGCAATTCTTATTTTACTGGTCAATGAATTTTGGACAGAATTGGAAATATTTCACAGCTCATTCGAGTTCAAATTTGTTTTTATAAATAAATGATCGCCATGGTGCATGGACTTTCCGTGTAATTTGAAAAATCTTCTGTTTGATATTGTGTTACATTCAAATAAGTTACATGATCATCGGTCGATCATTTACCAAGATTTTTCAGATAATTTTCACCAATATAAAACATGACAGTGATAGGGCATGTTCATTTTTAAATATATGCATATAAGGAAAAAATTAGATTACATGGATAAATATGTTTATAAAATTGCATAGAAATGGTAAGTAGGCGACTGTCTAATAAGTTTGTTCAAATAATATAATTTTGATTCGACAATAAACACTTTGAGTATTCTTATTCATTCTTATGAGCGATGCAGGAACATCACACATCCTTGATGGTGGTATTATGGTTGTTGTTGTTGCTGCTAATGGTGGTGATATTATTTGCTGTTTGTTGTTGTTTGTGTTGATAATGAAAAAAATGTTGTTCTTTAATTGCTTTTGGGGTTTGTTAATATATCGTAAAGTAAATACTGCCTTCATGTAGCATAAACATATAAGACTGAAAGTCACATTTGAGATATATAGAGAATTGAAAGTTAGGTGGAGTTAAAGTTCAAGTCAATTATAACAAGCTTTAATGTTTTCAAATTTGTTTCTTGTAAAATAAACGCTAATCATTGGAGAGAAATTGTATTACAACCCTTTAAATAAATGAACAAATATTTTGGAGCGGAGCCAAATAAACCACTGTTAGAATTCTTGTTGATAAAAATTGATTTTCAACTTCTTTGAAATTTCTAGTATTTCATGTTTGCCGTTTTAAGTATATTGGAAAACATATTTGTAAATGAATATCAATCAGACAGAAAATTAAAAGTATCGATCTACTGCATTACGCAATGTGAACCAACAATTTAATTCGATAAATGTATTTTGATATTGTTAATAGTTTGACGATCACACTTATAAAAATTGATCGATCTTCCAAATCAATAAAGGTTCATTCTTAATATAACTGGGATTGCAATGCCTTTATTGTAATGTATTACATACGAAACCGGAAGCTATTAAATGTTTGCGACGAATTAATGTATTGAGACATTTAAGTGTAAAGGTTGACATAGAGATAACGTTTATTGTAACTGTAGTTGAACTTATAAGGAAAAGTATGGCAACTCATGATCACGAAGATCCAAATGTTGACGATAAAGTTGATTCAAATGAAGATGAAAATGAGGAAAAGTCATGTATGTTTGCTTCCGTCCGTGGACATCTGTCTTCAAAACCTTCCCGTGAAAACAGCAGACGGTCAATATCAAGTTCAGTTCTAACTGTCGAAGGATCTCGGAGTAAAAAAGGCGATGTCTGTCACGAAATGGCGGACGAAACAAATCATTTACCCTGGATTGGTACAGAAAGTAGAACGGAGGTAAACTTAAGCAATGACAATATAGCAGAACAATGCTTAAAGTGCAAAACAAAAGTATCAACCCATTTCTGCCGAAGCTGCAGCGAAGAACGTCAATATATGTGCTATGTTTGTCTAAAAGATCACAACTATTGGTTTGATGACCATGATGTTGTCACATTATCTGTGGAAAGTGAAGGGTATGTTTTGTTAATTCAAATAACATAAGTTGTATTTGATAAAAAATATGCAAATGTAATTTATGTTAAGGTCTTTTTGTAAATGAAGTGTATGGCGTTTTGAAGACTTTTTTAAATTCATGATTAACTCCATTCATAGTTTTGGACATGAATACATTTCTAAATTATTATTAAACACTTTTCGTTCTGATAACTCAATCAATAATTACTTTTGTGCATTGTTTAACAGAAATTTACGACTACAAGCGGACAAACTCCGAACACTTAAAACGTCCGAAATGCCACAACTACCTTCGAAGGTTCACAAGGATGATGATCAGAAGAAAGGAACACATATGTTTAAAGACATGTCAGCTATATCAACAGGCGGAAGTGATAGTCGAAAAACTTTCAACCAAGGTAATCAACTTGTTAGCAAAGGTTTTTACAAGGACAATTACTATCTAGGCATAGCACAAGAATTAAGAACACAGCAGCAGCGATGTAAATCTGAGGGTAAACTTCAAAAGTACGGAATGTATTCAACACAAATTCGTTCTGATTCAAAGGCTTGTGCTATTACAGGAATAGTACAGCTGGACAATAAAAAACTGCTACTAGCTGACTCTGAAAACTGTGAACTCAAAATAATGAATGAAGAAACTTTAAACATTATTGTTTCTCACAGATTACCCAGTAATCCATACTTGATGCGCTTCGTTAAAGAAAACAAGGTTATCATCGCATGTATAAATGTATAAACAATGGATTTCATTCAATAGATTTAAAAAGCGACTTAGACATTGACATTAAGAAAATGTTTGAAATCAAACGTTTGTTTAGATGTATTGTCTGGGTTTCAAATGAAATGTGGGCATGCACTTCTGACACAATTGAGGTCTATAGCGATATAGGCCAAGATATTTTAAAATTCAAACCAGAAAATGTTGCCAATATTAAGGACATGTGTGTAAGCACAGAAGGAGACATTATTTATTGCGCTGACGAGAAGAAAGGAATAGTGGTTCTTGACAAACATGGAACCGTTGTTGAAATCATATCGGAAAATTTATGTCAACCTCAAAGGCTGTGTCTTGGCCATCTAGGATACATTTTTGTGACCGAGACAAATTCTGACAGGGTGATGCAAGTTGATATACATCGAAAGGATGCGAAACAAATTGGAAGGGATGATTTGTTTATGAAGAACAGCCCAACTTCCTTGTGTCATGAGAAGACAAGCGATAGATTAATAGTTGTTGTGTGGCAAAATGACAAAATACATGTTTATACTTGTCCGTCATGAAGTTTCGTTTTTGGTTTGATTTTTCGTCACACTAACACAGTATAGGCCGTATGGCGACGAATTCCCCCATTGAGGTTTCAACAATACAGGGGCATCTTTTGAGGAAATGCATATCGATATACTTTTACTTTCTGTGACAAAGTAAGAGAATAATTTTGAAAATCCAAGATGCTGACACTTTTATCTTTTTTACATTGAAAGATACAAAATGAGATATTATTAGCGTTGTTTATGAAGATACAATAAAGAAAAAACATTGCTTGCTGTGACTCGGGGTTTTCTAATTCGTTTTCCTATGTACTAATTATAAACGTTTCTTTGCTATGTGTAAAGTTACATTTCTATGTAAGTATCTACTTAAAACTCAAGTTTGTTATTTTCGTATTTTTAAAGACAATTTTAGAATCAAAAGTATTGTAAGAGTTATAAAGTTAACTTGTTAAAGTGACATGCTCATTTTGTCACGGTCAAATTGAGCTACAATACTTATTTAAATAGATAAAGACAATAATGGCCATTAATTAATACAGGTATTTATATTCACTAATATTTAGGATAACATATTAAAACTGTCTAAAAATATAAAAATGTCTGTCCTTCTCTTTTCATAATTGACTCTTGACGATAAATTCAGGATATTTTTAGATGTTTTGACGTTTATTACAAAATCGGAAACAAATCTGATTAAATGTCAAGTTATTTTGAACCTGCATAACGGTATGAATAGGCATAATGTCACTTAAAGTATTTTCCCCTATTTAGATTCAACCGATTTCAGTAAGAAAAGGTAATGAATACCTTATACTTTTTGGTATGAAAGGTATTTTGTTACAGCACGAGTGTTTGTTTAACATTTCATATATTAGAGATATAACCTTCAACGTAAGTTAACACAATATTGAAATAGAGAAATAGATTATTAGATCTTTATAATTCTTTCGCCTAATATCATAAAAAAGTGCTCGCACTATGAGGATACTTGTGTATTCACAGTAGTATTAATTGAAAGTATTAAATTTCATTGAAAAACATTGAATATATGTTATGAGATCGTTTTTATGCAACATAAGCTTACACGATACGTTTGAAACGTAAAAGTACGTCCGTTAAAAGCATTTAATATTTGGTAACTTTGTAGTACTTGCTAGAGGGAGGGTATGAGACCGACTAAGACACTTGGTTTTCTTAGGCATGTTAATCTTTAATCATGGACCAAAGTTTCGTCTAGGGGGGGGGGGGGTAATAATAATTATAATAGTTTTTAAATTCAAGAGGGCGTGTAGGATATGTATTCCAATTTCAGGAAGAAATAAATATCAGCATATGTCTTCTGATGCATCTTAGGGTGCTAAAGTCAAGATACTTTCCCCTAGTGTTTGGTCCAGAGAGAGTGAGCCTGTGCCTTGATCCTACTCTTGATTACGGAGGACTAAGCATTTAAAAAAAAAAAAAATTCTTATTTATACTCTTATTATTAAAAAACAATACTTTTTTTGCTCTGTAAATGGTATCTCTTTAACGTTAATTTATTTGTTACATATTGTATTTCGCTTTAATTTGAAAGTTATAATTTTTCATAAAGTCATTTTATAAAAAAAACAATTTTATAGTGTTAAACATGAGCAAATGAGGCCTCTGATATACATGTACAAATAAGGCCTCTGATAATATTGATATATGAACGATCGATAAAAAAAAAATAAAAAGAAATTAAATAATATAACCCCCATCGATTGATTTGATTTTCTTTACTTAAGTCAGCCAGCCAGCCAGCCAGCCAACCAGTCAGTCAGTCAGTCAGTCAGTGTAAAAGCCTTAAAGTTCTACTAAACAGACAATAGAAAATGTTAATAAATTAAATACGTGCCGATCATATGTGCTGCGGAGTAAATTCAATCATTTAAATCACCGATATATAAGCATTAAACCATGATTTAAAACTTTAGATGAACAGAGAACTTCTCATTAGTCTAAAATAGAACTAATTTGTTTACAAAAATAACTTGATTACGCAAGAAAAATATTTTTAAAGAATTCAAAGTACCCACCATACCCCGCTATGAGTTTTACATGTCTTGAGTACATTCACATGTTTCATCACTGCCACCATGTTTATTTCCAGTACATTGTATAAAATTAATTTCCTTTCATGTTGTTCTGTATATGAGCCTGACAAGAATAAAAATTTATGTTGTTGTTATGTTGTTCATTTTATTGCAAGGGATCGAAGACATAATATTAATTAATTTTTTTTCAATCGAACAATGCCAATTTGTGGCAATTTTGATACAATCATATAAAAACCGTTGTTCTATCTTGAGTAGGAAAAAGTCTTAAGGTCAAAAGCTTGCCAGAGAATTGTTATTCATGTATGCATAAAAGCTCTTTTCAAACATTCATTTTGGAAATAAATAATGCTGAATCTGACATTAATGTTAACAATTGAAATAGGTAATAAACTGTTCATCGCCCTGTAGATGTAAAACAAAAAGGATTGAATTTACAGCTTTTTATTTAATTAATCTACAAATGTTTGAATATACCGAGATGTTAAACCGAACTGTAAACTTTTTATTATCATCCGATGAATAATTAATTAACAGTGAAAGGATTTTGTGATAATTGATGTAATAAGTGCATTTAATGAAAAAAAGCTTTTAGCATATAAATGTTTTATGGACAAGATTAAACTTGTAGTGCATTTTCCATAATTCTCTGTTTAGTTGTTATTTTGAGTACATACTAACCATGGATTTGATTGGTAATCAATCAAATTCACAAAAAAGACAAAACTCCATAGATGAAAATAACAGATACATTTCAATGAAATATTCTTACTCAGTTGTATTTTATTTCACGCCGTCCGACACTATTCGGTTATCGAACATCGCTTACCTACTTACTGTAGTGGTTAACTTTTTTAGTAATTCATTAAAACGTGTGTACAAGGATTCAGTTGTAAACAATCAAAACAGTTGTAAAAATGTTACTATTGTATATTGGTACAATATTTATTATAGTTTGATTGCAAAGTATTAGGTAATAAAATAGTCATTTCATGGCCGGTTGTGGAACAGTTGTGGTAACAAGCATGACGTTTGGAACTGCTGCAAGAGGCCCGCTGTATATTACTTAAATTTCATGTTATACATTTTATTTTCCTGTTACTATTATAATAGTAAACGATATGATAATTTCAAGTTACATTATTTTCTTTACTATATACATGTAAACATGCGGACGCGGAAACAATTAAAAGTATATAAATGAGATGACTTTATACAATTAGAAGATAATGACAAATTGCTAAAAAACTAGTAAAAAGTTAAAGTTATGTTCTTGACTATACATGTCATCCCATTTCTCACGCAAAATCTTTTATCATAAAAAGAACAACAACAACAAAAAAAAAATAAAAAAATAAAAAACCAACAAACAAACAAAAAACAACAATTGAATCTGTTTTATTTTATTTTGTGTAATATATATGTTTTAAATAATGCCGACATCAACAATATACCACGGTCATACAAAACCAAAATTTAAGTCTGTGTGCTAGGGGGCGTGGAAGATAGTTTGCACTTGACAGTACCGTCTATTTACAGGCTCAATTAAACCGAGCCTGCAACAATTTTAATTTTGTCGTTTTGCGCTTTCTTTAGGGATTTTTATTTTCTCTATTTCATGTTAGTTGTCATCCTTTGTAATTCAAAGTACATCGAACTTCTCCATGCATAAATATGTCTAAATGGCAAATGAATGTAAGTTCGCCTACAACATAACTATTATGGTACTTTTTTCTTTATGAACGATATAGTTTCTATAACTTTAAATTGTTGTTTGTGAAGAAATTTTGTAGAAAGGTTGTTTTTTCTCTAAAAGAAAGTATTTAGTGAAAGAAAGCTTTACGTTTAAACTGAATTTTATAATAACTGATAAAAGGCGCGTGAAAAATTCTACAATTAGATTATAAGATTTAAGTGCCTTCATAATCAATCATCACCATATATATAAAATACTTTTGTTCGTTTTTGTGGATGATGAACTTTTATTTCATCGAGTGAGCTTTAAAAACTGTATTCTCACGAGTGGCGAGTTCATGTTGATGTATTAGCGGACATTTTTTTTAAAATGAGTATAGCTGACATATAAGTTAACGGTTATTCATACGTCATCAGTGAAAAGGGTGGCAGAAATAACCGATCGCGTTACGGAAGAAAACGTCTTTCTAAATCACGTTTCATACACATAAGGACAGTCAAAAACAATTTTTATTGTATATATTGTAATCTACGTCATAATTTACTGAAAACGGAAAAACATGCCTATTTTTTACCAGATACCTTTAAACAAATAGCATATAAGGGCCGCTTACGATTCATTTCAAGTTAAGAGTTACTAACAACCTTAGTAATATGCAATCATTTAGTTTACTCTGTTTAATTGTCTATATCAAACATCATGAAGTTTAGCAACAGGTTTTGATATCATGTTAACTGTAACAAATGCATATGTTGGTTGGCGAAAATGTAATTACGATTAATTGCCGATAAGCAATGTAATGTTATTAAGGTTAATTGAATCAATTTTTATCAGGGATGACGTCACATTGTCATGGTACATGATCGATGTTCTACATTTGATAAGTGTCTTATTTGATAAATGATAAGCTAAATGTAACCAGGTCCTTTCTTGTTTGAAAAAGCAAAGGCAAACACTAATGTGTTTCTATTGATAAAGAAAAACGAGGAAGATTCTCTTTTAGATTTTGTTGGCGATATCGATCACTATATTTTTAATTGTCATCTCAACCAAAGCAGAAACTTGTTTAGAAATAATAACACTTTCAATCAATCAGGTAAAATACGAGGGTTGTCCCTAAAGTCCGTGTCAAATGTTAAAGCCGGTTCATTTTTAACGCCAATAGAAAATAATTCACACATATAACCGTTAAGTTTATTATTTAACATTACAACAAATCATTTACAAAAAAATTACCCTAGTTACTTAGAAATTTTCAGTATTAACGACATTGGTTTGAGTTGCCGGCGCACGTCAAATAATCTACATTTTGTTATGAATAGGCTGAAATTATTTACGTATATTTCAAACATATGATGACGTGTCTGCAAAATGTCACGTTGACTTCCTATGCTGCTATGTTTAAATCACCTCTGAAAATTTTAGTTAAATAACTTAAAAAACGAAAAAGATACGAATAAATGAAAATATCTCATATAAAATAGGAAAGTTAAAATGGCGACGTTCGAAGAATTTGCGGCGCAGTGAACATGTCACTCAGGTTTCATGACTATATCGAGATAACACATGTAATGATTTTCAACAAATATACCAAATATAACAGTTTAGCAACATATTCTGAGCATTTGTGTACAAAAGGCATGAACGGAACCAGAGTTTTGCGCTACAAAAAGCGAAAATAAGGAAAACACGGATAGGAAGACCGATCTTCGTCGCTTATTTCCTACAGCTAAAAACAGGAGTAACGAGACCGGAAGTTCGCGTAAGCATAAATTAATGTATGCCATCCAAACATTCAACAAACATTAACAACCACATGATTTATGTCAGAAATTGACGATTGATGGGTACCATTATTGCGTTGAAAGCCATTGAGAGTATTTGAGAAAGGTGCCTTATATAGATTTAAAGCCGTCTTTGACGTTGGACGTGCGCCGCGATTCAGTTAGTTGCCATGGTGTTTATGGCATATTTTTGTTGTTTGTTGATATTTATCTATGAAAATTTGTGAAAACGTTTAAATTAAATGTGTTTATAACATATCAAAATATCAAATTCGTACCTGTTTTATTTAGCTTTAATTCAATCTTGTCACAGAATATTGGGACAACCCTCGTACTTGATATATTTTTATATATAGAAAAAAGAAATTTATACGAGATCAACAATACTCTGTCAAAACAACATTCAACGTATGTATTTTTTTCGGGATTATAAGTCTTGTAAATATTTAGTACATTGAGAAGTCCATTGTCAATGAAGAAGCCCTTTCATAAGACAAATTCTTAAAACTGCTAATCAACTTTGCAATAGATGATAGTACCATTACCCTACAATATCCAAAATATTTATATGTCATCTTTGATCAGTAAAACCATTTGTAACTTCAATACTTTTGTAACAAAAACATCGTTTCATCAAGGTCTGAACATCAGACTACTACTACTGATGCTGTGTAGTACGTAGTCACGGCTACATTTTGGTTAATCCAAAATTTCTGTATAACTTCTCCTTTTAAAATTCATAATATCCATATGCAGGATAAAGTATTCATCCTTTACTATGACTGGCACTTGGTTCTGCCCACCTGCATGTGCTGCACTAGGATAAAATCTGGTTTCAAGATAATGTTTTCATTTTTATGTCATTGTCTTTTATTGTCAATGATATTATATTTGGATACTTCACTAAACAATGAACATTTCTTGGCTGAATACTGATAAACATCGAGAATCAAATTCCATTGGTATAAATTTACTGACTTTATTATAAGTACTTAAAACTATTATTCCCTCATGTTCAGGTTGTCAGATTCCACTAGACGGCTATCATGAAGACACATAATTCCGCTCATATTAGTAATCTTACCATTTTTATCTATTATGTCAAATTTTCATAGTTATTGTTACCCATGCATTTTTTTGTATTTTCCATTTGTGGCACAACACCTTCCTTGCATGTATATAATAAGACATTTTGTTATAAACATGTCTCTGTATTGACTGGTATGGCAATATCAGCATTACCTTTCTCCAATGATGTGACAATGCTTGCTTCTTTATTGTCAAGTTTTGTTTCTTCTTTTGTAGGATTGTTAACCAAAGACGTTTTGACCTGTTTGATGTTGCGTTCTGCATCACATTTGCCTTTTTCACTTAAAATGTCTCTGCTACATAAAAAATCATAAAATTCCTCTTTGTTGGTAGTTTTTACAGAAATATTTGAAATTTTTAACTTTGTTTCTTTAATGGAGCATTTAATGAAAGGTTCTTTCTTTTCAATTGATTCAGCTAAAGATGTGTTTTCAAATTCTGCTTGGATAATATAATTTTCTTCGCAAATCTCCTCTGTTCTTTTTTCTAATTCTTTCATTTTATCTATGCTAAGCTTTATCCAGTGTACGATGTCACAATTTTGCTCTACATTTTTAATTTCCTTCAGAAATGTCTCAGTCCCTTCAGCTTCGGTTATAAGTTCATCTACACCATCAACCATTTGCATGCACAAGTCGGTTTGTCGAGTAATCTTTTTCTTAGCATGATTTAATATATATGATTTTTGTTCTTCAAAATGCGTTAAAAATCTATCTCGTATTGCATCGAACTTATCTGATATTTCCTGAGCTACAGATTTTGATCTCTCAACAGCATCTCGAATTTTTTCCTTTGCATACTTAGCTTTTAGAATGGTTTGATCTAACTCATCATATATTTTATCAGAAAACATTTTTCTTTCTAAATCAGGTGAATATGGTGCAGACATATGTATTATTCTGGAACAATGTCGTTTCATCAGTAAACACGTTCTACATAAAAACGCCTTATGATCAACACAGAAATATTCTAAATACTTTCCCGCGTGATGTCCACACGTCTGTTTTGCTTTTAATTCGTTGCTTAACTTCACCGACAGTTGAATATCGTTTATGTGAACTAAAAGATGAGTCCTTGTAGCTTTGGAGCTTTTGTGAACCTCGGCACACTTTAAACAATGAGATTCCTGACACGTAAAGCAGTATTTAGAAGCACTTGTTATGTTTCCTCGCGCCTTGCACGGCTCGCATGTATCTGTACTCTCCATTTTTCAAAATAAGACAATATCCATAACAAGAACAATTCAGCAATAACTTCAATTATAAACTACTTTGTGTTAAAAGTGTTACTGTTTAAATAACGCCTGTAAATATTATGCATATAAAGAGCTATTTTTATCTTTACTTTTAATCTAACATACCAGTTCAAAGATAAACTCGCATTACGAACTGTGAACTTCGCCACACTTTATACAATGAGATTGAAAGTGTAATCTCCATTTCCCAATTTAGACGATATATTCAACGAAAACAATTCCACAATAACCTCAATAAAAATACCTTTTGTTACAAATTTTACCGTTTCAATGGCTCCTGTATATGTTTGACATGTTACTTTTATGTTTAGATCGATAAATCGAAACCACATTTAAACCGGTTTAAAAATAAACACGCATTGCAGCAATGTATAATAGTATAATTGTGTATTACGGTTTGTACATGACTGCCATAAAGGACATTTGCTTTGTATAAATACTGATAATGTAACGGAAGATAGCCTTTTGATTTAAACCTGATTATAAATAATTTTCTATAAATATATGCGAAATGAACATATTTATTGACATAATTATTGACAATTTATTGACATAATAGTGATAAGAGGTGATTTCATATTATAACAATGATATTAAACGTTCACATGACTGTTTTGATAAAATGACATGTATTTGTAAAAAGGGACATAATGTGTTGTTTGCTCTCATTTACAGATGTAGTCATTTAATAATGTAGTTTACAGTTTCAATTCAACAAAGGCATATTGCTTAAGGTATTTTAAACATGTTTCTCCGTACACTTTTCATTACTTATAATAAGTATCGTCGAGTTAAACCATTCAATATGGTAAACTATCCTAAATTGGCTACAATACCACTTGTAACTTACTGATTGATAATAATTTAATGTGAACTATTATATTATATCCAAAAAAAATATGAATAACAAGATCATCAAGGAAGGGGGCGTTCAATGAACGCCAGTTAACATATGTAACACCAAACATAACATTTCACTCCTTTCCAGGATCTAAAGCATATACATTGCCATGCTTATAGACATTTTTAATTTTCAAATGTACTTAAAAGTCTTCTTTTATCTAAAAGTTGAATCAAGCAGTGACGTAGTGACATCTTTCTCAAGAAGCAATTGAAGCATTGTAAGCAAAAGGGACACCTTAATTATTGTGTTAAGAGGCAGTAAACCTGTTACTGTTTATTCACATAAAATGTAGTATTTTCATAAAATATAAGCATATTTTTTTTAATTTATCAAAATTTAACATCACATTTTAAATTTTGAATTTTGTTATAGCCAGTGCTAGGGTTGTGGAAGGTAGCTTTCAATTTCCAGTATCCTCTTGTGGCTTAGGGGTTGCCTTCACTGATTGAGGCATCAGCATTGACACGACCATTAAACCTTGCGTGATCGTAAGAGGCGACTAACTGCGTTCGAATTATTTGAGTCTTTGCACATTTTAGTTCTGCAGATGAGGTAATTTGTTTATAACACCAGAGGTTAGCCAAATCATCTTTCCTGTTTCGGCGTCATATTGCCTTAACTGTGTTGGTACGCCGTAAGCCAAACAAAATGAAAAGGAACTTTCCAATACCGTCCATGAACACGCTCAATAATGAAGCTTGCAACATTTTTTAAACTTTTGGATGTAAATTGATCTTTAATAATAAAATTCATAATGATCTACATCAAATTTTTTAAGATATAAATTATTCACAGAAACAATAATATTTTACTTGTATATGTTAATATATACGTATTTATGACTAATTTATTTTCTACAATTTTCATTAATTGTTTGACTTGTAAAACAAAAGTCTGACTGAACATGTGTAACGAAATCTTTTTATGTATTTTTGCCAGTATATCATTCATATTAACTCAGCATAAAATATATTGAGTTTCTAATATGAAATTGCATGAAATCCTTTTGGTTAGTAAACATTCGTAATGAAATACTTTTCAGGCGAGTCCATGTTCTTTCAAAATTTAAATTTTCATGCATAACTGGTATGCCTTAAATTTGAAATGCATCTAATTGACAGTTTCGTTTAGCTGTTACTTAGTCTAAGTTACTTAGTATGAAAGCTAATGTGGTATTAATCAGCTTGTTTACAAGTACATGTTTACAAAATTACATTTGCAACTTTACAGCAAATATACCTTTTTGATAATTAAAAAATACTGAAATACCTGAAGGAACGCCAAAGTTACCAATGAACCAAAACGTCTTTTTACCAATGCCTGAACACCTTGAGACATCTGATGAAAAACAAAACGCCTACATATTTTTAATTTGCATATTCGGTTATCAAAAAGAAAAAAAGAAGAAAAGAAAACACCACACATGCCCTAAATTTTGTTGTCTTACCTAAAAAGACTAGCGTGGGTGAAAGGTTAAAGGTGAAATACAAGGCTCTGAAAAAAAGGCAGAAAATAACTCATTATGGTCAGCTTGCACAGAATAAACTCTTTATGTTTGCATTATAATTATGACTCAACCTTCATGTATTATATCGCTCCTAGAAATAGCAAAGACAATCTATCAATTGTGTTTACTATTAAATTACTTTTAGACAAACTGTATTTTTTTATTTACGATCAAGGTAATTCATTAATTGTTAAACTTAAGAACTAAAAATAAAATTTACTATCAACATTCAATGAGCTAATTTTTGACATGATACCAGAGAGACGTTTAACCTAGATAAATATCATACATCACAATTGACAAATTTACTTAAAACCTTTAAAACCTTTACAAATAGTAAATTAGACATATCTCATAAGATCCATCTGTGCTAACATTCATTATTTTATTAATCATGGTGTTATAACAGTGTGATAATAGGTAGTCTTTACGATAAAGGCAACCGGTCAACTTGCAAATTAACAAAAAACTTTACTGAGGTCCAAAAGCCTTAAAACATAAAATTTTGAATTTCTTTCATAGATCACCTTCGGGAGTTAAATATATACTAACAATTATAAATAGAATATACTAAGAAATAAATTGAGAATCGTATTTTGTACTATTCTAGCCCGATTTGTGTGAAAAGCATTGCAACACTTTTGCATTTTGGGTCATTTTTCACAATATAAAATATCATTCTTGAAAAACGGAGTGAGCGACTGATCTGAAATTTTGCAGACATGTTATTGGTCTAAACTTATATCAAATGGAACATTTTTTCGGAAAATTATTTCCAGTCCTGCCAAGTCAAAAAACCTCAGTGGAGTTCCTTTACGAAAAAACTCGAGTTTGTAAAATATAAGTGAACGAGCAGTATCTACATAATGACCATTTGCGTAAATTTTGCTATGTTGATTACTATATTTATGTTCCTCTTCCTAAAATATAGTATAGTTACCCTGCTGTTTATATTATGTACATGAAACGATAACAAGTATCAAATGTCAATGCTTTGACAAATACCTAAAACTTTTTTTCTATGCGATTACACGAGCGTGGTCATTAATGTTTTATTTCAGAAGTAATACTACTTACAGCAAATCGGTTGTATTTGTTTTACACGTATTCCCTTTTATATTAAGTAATATGTTACCTTTCACAAAATGACCAGTTACCAGATTTAGATTATTTAAGTTCTGACTGATATTGTCAATTACAATTATATTGCAATCATTTATTAAAAAAAGAAAAAAGAAAAAAAAAACACACAAAGTTAATAATATAGGTTATAAAATGCTATTATATAAAACTAAGCCAGGTGAACAAATTAGCAGTTGTAATTTGTTGGGATACACGTTTTGCATCTAGGACCATAACATCTACATAAAGATAAAAACAAATGCGTTTTGCGGTCGATTAAAATGAATTTACATATTTTTCAGGGTTTTTTTTTTGAAATGATATTATTAATTAGTAGTATTTTTACAAATGTTTTGAATTTGTTAACATATTAACTTTGTTAACTTCAGTGTAAAACTGTTTAAAATGTTTCAATCCTAGTGGGTAACAGGTTTTTGCATGTATTTGATAAAAATTGTGGTGGATATGAATCATGTTACTTAGAATCAATGATATCAACTGCATTCAGCTCATTTTAAAACAATTAAATTGAAATGTGCAGGAAAACGTAAAGTTATTATTTTGCAATGAAACACAGTAATTTTGAAACAAACAATCATAAAAACATATTATAAAACAAATTGTAATGTTGTATGTCCCAATGGTTTAGTCAATATTGTGTTTTATTAGATAGCATATCATAATAGACATGATAAAGAACTTTTATGCAGCACAATTTTCGACTTTAATTATTAAAATGACATTATGCCCATCTAAGGGCTTACATCGAGTAAACAGGTAGAAGTCATTACAAGTTTACATTTTTCAATAATTCCTTTCATATTTATAATTTACTTCGCATGGACGGTAAATAATTCACGTGGCCTTTGGAAATTTCTGTAAATATGCTTTGAAATTTACCTGTAATGTTCACTCTATAAAAAAGAGTGGGCAGTCTTTTCATATTTAGGTCAGATTCATACTTTGTCTATCGCCATAATAACAGTCGATCTTTTGAAATAAATAGTTAGTTTAGCTCAACTTGTCAATGAAACCATGAGCATAATGTCACTTTAAACATTAGAAATAACCAAAATGAATAAATGAACAAACAAACACGATGAAATACTAGTTATTTGGAAAGAAATTTAATCAACTCTTGGTCTGCTGTCCAATGTATGTTTTATTAACTTTTACCCATTTAAGAGTTTTGAAAATTTTCTAAACCCAATTGAAAAATTAGTTCTTTCTATTTTCCGTCGGGTACGGTTATTTTTCATGAAAAAGAACAGGAAAAATTTAAAAGAAAAGGCCGTACCCAATCATCAAACAAAAAAACAAAAAAAATTAAACAAGTTAAAAGATCCCAAATACGTAAGAAAATCTACACCGTAAAACCCTGTACCATGTTTTTTTTTTAAAAATTTAAAAAATAAAGTTAATTAAAGATAAAAAGTTTCGTTTTTACTTCCCAAGAAGTTTTTAAAATGTTTTTAAAGCACCCTGAAACAAAATTGAGTTTTTTTTTTCAAAAAAATATTTTAAAGGTTCCAAAAGGGAATAAGATGAAGGCTTTGTTTGTATTTTTAATTTGACATAATTTTCTTATAAAAAAGATAAAATTTTCAGAATGTTTTTTGTTACTTTATTTGTTGTAGATCCCTATTTTTTCATTTCTGCCACAAATAGAAAAAAGAAATTTTTACAAGTGCTTTATACCTTTAAAGTCAAAATTAAAAATTTCTTTTAATGTCCAGTATAAAAAACCCGTATTGAAACTCTAAATTT